TTCAAGGCCTAATAAGACTCTGTTGTATGGATATAGCACATTTTGTTTGTCCTTCATCTGTCGATGGATGCTTGGGTCGCTTCCACCTCCTGGCCACAGTGAATAGTGCCGCTGTGAACACGGGTGTTCACCAACCCGTAAGTTCTGAGTGTTGCCTCACAGAGTCGCTGTGGGAGATGTCTTACAAGGGCGAGGCAGACACATGTAGCCGAAGTGAGGTTTAGGAAGGGTCTGTAAAACCACATCTCCCATTTTCCCCTTGCCTCTTCCTTTTTTTCATTTTCTTCCCTCATCTCTCAACCCCCAGCCAAAGGATGGAGCATTTGCTGTGACATAATTCAATCTAAGGACCCTAAGTCCTACCTGGGTAAGGGACAGTGGAACGGTTGGCTCCATTGTGCAGGTGGGAAAGGTCATCGCGACTTTCCCAGAGCCACCAGCATTCCAGGAGCAGTCAGCACTCAGACCCGGTCTGCCTTCACAGCTGAAGACTCTTTCCTTGAGAATATTCCTGGATGTGCGCTTCTATTTGCCCAGCTACCAAGGGCCGGGAAGAGTCCTGTGGGGCAGCCCTTGGGCCCTCCCCTCTCCTGGAAGTAACAGTTTACTTTGGGAGGAGGCCAGGCTAGGCGGGGACCCCCCAAGCTCTCCGCCCAGGGGGAAGTGATTGTATTTATTTATGTGGCAGTGTTGGCCAGGCCCAGGCCTGGGGGATGGGAGAGTGGGAGAGTGAGAGAGAGAGAAATTATGAGTATCTGGCTGGAGCTGGAACAGCCTGGGGGAGGAAAGGCCCCACTAATATGCCCAGCAAGAGAAAGCCCTGCCAGGAAGGGACCTGGGGCCAGGTCTGCTGGGGGTTGTCTCCTCCCCCAGCACAGAACAAGGATCTTTCCGTAACCCAAACCCATGGGAGAGTCTGGTCTGGACGTTTCTTTGCCTCCCCTCCCCACTGCAGCACCTGAACCTCAGGCCTCTCTGTGCCCCCAGGGTGGTGATCATGAGCTCCATCCTGGAGCACATGTGTGCTGACGTGCTGCAGCAGACAGCCACGCAGATCAAGTTCCCCTCCACGGGGGTGGACACGATGCCCTACTGGAACTTGCTGCCCCCCAAGCGACCCATCAAGGAGGTGCTGACGGACATCTTTGCCAAGGTGCTGGAGAAGGGCTGGGTGGACAGCCGCTCCATCCACATCTTCGACACCCTGCTACACATGGGCGGCGTATACTGGTTCTGCAACAACCTGATTAAGGTGCTGGGGCTGGGGGTGGTGTGGGCCAGACCCACGGGCTGGGGGAGCAGGTATCCCCAGACGTGTAGACATCTGAGGAAATACCTGACCGGTCCAAACGCCATCCCATCCCCTGACTTCTCAGCACCCAGCCTGGTCAGCCTCCTCGGGCAGCTCTGGCCAGAGGCTGGGATTCTGCCTGAGGGATGGTGCAGCCAGGCCGGAGGGGCCTGGGCGTCAGAGCCCCAGGCCCAAGGCCCCCAGCTCCTAAACTGTCCCCCTCCCCTGTGTCCCCAGGAGCTGCTGAAGGAGACACGGAAGGAGCACACTCTGCGCGCGGTGGAGCTACTCTACTCCATCTTCTGCCTGGACATGCCGCAAGTGACCCTGGTCCTGTTGGGCCACATCCTGCCAGGCCTGCTCACCGACTCCTCCAAGTGGCACAGTCTCATGGACCCACCTGGCACTGCGCTTGCCAAGTAGGATTCTCCCCAGGGCTTGCTCTGCTCTCACTCCACAGCCCCCAGCCCAGAGCCCGCACCCGTCGCCTGGCTGTGCAGGGCCCTGTCAGAGGGGCCTGGTCAGTATGGACACTGGAACCCCTCTAACTGTACCCCATTTTCCTGGAACTGTTTGCCAGGCTGGCCGTGTGGTGTGCCCTGAGCTCTTACTCCTCCCACAAGGGACAGGCATCTGCCCGCCAAAAGAAGAGACACCGTGAGGACATTGAGGTAGGCGCCCCCATGTTCACTCATTCCCATGTTTATTTGGCATTTATTGGTAAGAGGCGCCTTCGCAGGTGAGGGGACTCAGACGTGGTCCCTGCCCTGGGGCAGTTGTGGCAGGGTCTGGAGGAGTGACTGTGTGGCCCCCAGACTACGCTTGGTGAGGGTCCTGTAAGGTGTGCTTTACCCAGCAAAGGCCCGTGGGAGGGGTGGGCAGCGGGGCCGAGACCCTGCTGGCAGGGCCTGCGGAGGGCTGTGGGGCGTTGACTCTTCCCCACTCAAATCTGAGCTCCAGTCCTCTCTCCTGTCCCCTGGTTACTGGCAATTTGAGATTCAGGGGTGCGTGACAGTGACTTTCCTGCCCTCCAGGATTACATCAGCCTCTTCCCCTTGGACGACACGCAGCCGTCGAAGCTGATGCGACTGCTGAGCTCCAACGAGGATGACACCAACGTCCTTTCAAGTCCCAGTGAGTGTGGGCAGGGTGCACAGGCCGCTTCCTCTCCTGGCAGCTCAGCCCCAGGTCTGCTCTGTCTGGGCCCAGCAGGCATCTGTGCTGGTCAGAGAGGGTGTAGCAGGGGCTTGTGCTATTCTGTCCCCTGTCTCGGGGGCTCTGTTTCCTGCCATCTCCTCTCCTCTGCCCAGGTCCCAGCCCAGCTCGTGGTTGTCTCTGCCCCTCCCCTTCTTTCACGCAGGGTTAAGGGGTTGACAAGCCACCAAGTGCATTCATTCAGTGCCTTGGGCACAGCCTGTGCCATTGACTCACCAGCTCTGACCTTCCTTCCTTGCCCCAGACATGCCCTGAGAGGCCCGGGCTGGGACTTAGGGCTACCCCCTCTCTTCCTGCCCGAAGCGCAGCCCTCCCCACCCTGGCTTCCCTGGACGTCACTGCCTTCTCACTTTCCTCCTCCTGGCCAGACTTCTGCCAAGGGCTCCTTCTGTGGCACTTAATTTTTCCTGTTTCCAGAGATTTCTTCTGAGCCTATAAATTTCTCTGAAGCCTTTTAGGGACTAGGGGACAAACCACGTACTTAAGCAGAGGAACAATGCTGAATCTGCCACCTGTAAATGCTGTGACTTAGCTAGTTACTTAGCAAGTGTGCGTCTCAGTTTCCTCATCTGTGAAATGGGCTGTCGTGAGGGTGAAGCCTCTTAGTCCGTGTGGTGCTGGCCAAGCGTCAGCTCCTCTCTCTCATGGCCAGCGAGGCCGCTCTGTACTTCCGGCTCTGTTGCCCAGCTAGAGTGCAGGTGAGAGCCATGGCGCCTGGCTCCCTCTGTGCTCTTGATCTAAGATCTTCCCTGGGCCTCTGTGCACCAGTCACCCCATGGGTGAGGGACAGGGTGTGGCAGGCAGTGCCCTCAGCCCTCCTCTGCTCCGCCCTGCAGCCGACCGCTCCATGAGCAGCTCCCTCTCGGCCTCCCAGCTCCACACGGTCAACATGAGGGACCCTCTGAACCGAGTCCTGGGTGAGTCCCCCATCCCTGCCTCTGCACCGGAGGCTGTGCTGGAGGGGGGTCCCGTTGTGCCCCTGGCTCCCTTACCGCACCTCCCCACCCCTTCCTCCCTCACCTGGGCTCTCCCGGCCTCCCCTCCTCTTCCCAGTTCTCCTCTCACACCTCCTCTCCTCCACACCTCGTTTTTGGGCACCCTCAGCACGTTTTCCCTTTTCAGCCCCATCTTCCCCCAGAGCCTGACCTCTTCTCACCCCTCTCATGGAACCCCCTCCTCTCCCCGCTCTGCACAGCCAACCTGTTCCTGCTCATCTCGTCCATCCTGGGCTCGCGCACGGCCGGCCCGCACACGCAGTTCGTGCAGTGGTTCATGGAAGAGTGCGTGGACTGCCTGGAGCAGGGCAGCCGCGGCAGCATCCTGCAGTTCATGCCCTTCACCACCGTGAGTGCCCTGGGGACGGGCACCCGCCTCCCACCACACACCCTCCTGGGGTGTCCCACTGAGCAGCTGTCTGTCTGTCTGTCTGTCTGTCTGTGGCAGGTGTCGGAACTAGTGAAGGTGTCGGCCATGTCCAGCCCCAGGGTGGTTCTGGCCATCACGGACCTCAGCCTGCCCCAGGGCCGCCAGGTGGCTGCCAAGGCCATCGCTGCACTCTGATGGGTGGCGGGGAGGGTCCCGGCCCCCGGCGCCTCTGAAGGGCACAGTGAGGAAAGATGAGACATCGTTGCTCACATCCACATGATGCAAGAGCCCTTCGTCAGCTTCCACGTTTCCCTTCTCCTGACTTCTGACCTCCAAGACGGCTTCCTGTCCCTTCTTTTGTAATTCCCTGTCCCCTTCGCTGGTACGTGGAGTGTGAGCAGCCCAGTTCCCAGCCATCACCCCTGTTCCAGGAGGGGACACTCCTCTGAGGCCCCGTGTGGATGTGTAGTGTGTGTGTAGATATATATTTTTGTAATACTTGAGGGGAAGTCCACCCCTGTTCACTTGTAAATAAAGATCCTCGTGGATCCGTTTGTGACTGAGTGCCAGCGCCTGTGCCAAGTGGGGCAGGGAGCAGCATCCTCTCCCTGGACTGCCTTGTGCTGTGGCCCGGGAGAGGCGCAGTCCCGTGGGGAGCAGGGGGAGGAGGAGCAGCAGGGGAGGAGGGCAGGGCTCAGGTTCCCCTGTTGGTCCACGCAGCTGGGGGGGCGGGGGCATGAGAGCTGCTCCCCCCAGTCAGCCCCACCTGCCACTGCCACCCCCCAAAGCCCGCCGTGGTCTGGAGAGGGAGAGGCTCTGGCTGAGGCCCTGCAGTGCGGGGCAGAGTGTCCTGCTCTGCTACTCAACCCGGCCTGACCCCACCCGGAGTCTGACTGGCTGAGATTTTGATCTGTCCCCTCCAGAAGAGGAACAGAGGGACGAAGGGCAGGAATGCCCTGTAACCCTTTCCTTGTCTGCTGCGACCATCTTCAAGCCTTGAGGTGGAGGACGCTGGGCCGTGCAGTGGGTGCCACCAACCCTGCTTTCCAAGGAGCTACATGGGGAGGGGAGGAGGGAGGTGGCTGAGGAGCTCGGGGTGGGTTTGGGCAGACGGCGGGGGCACCCGGAACCACACGGCAGTCTGTGGCTGCAGGGGCCCCTCTGCTCGCCACAGCTGGCCACCCTCCCAGCCCCTTCACCTCTCTTCAGCCCATAAGGCCGCGACTGTGGGGAAGTGGCCAGCCGGGGTGAGAGCAGAGGCCAAGCCTGATGAGAAGTTCTGACCCTAGTGGTCACCCTGACTTGGATTCCTCTGTGTTTGTGGGTGACTTTATGGATGGGCATAAGTTTAGGGAAGATGGCAAAGTGACAAGCCCTATGCAGATGTCTGCACCCCTTTGGGTCAGTCCTGCATAGTGGCATCTGGCCTGTTACTTGTACCCCCAGCCCCCTCTCTCTCCTCTCCTGCACCCTTGGTCCCTGTGCCTTCTGTCTCCCCCTAAAGGTTGTGGCTGCACAAGGGTGGGGGCTGTGTCTGCCTTGTTCACTATGTCCCTAGACTTCCCTCAGTGCATGCACATAGTAGGTGCTCAGATAAACACAGTAGAGGAATGAATGTCACATGAACTGAGAACTCCCTTCCTCCTCCCCACACCTCCCCTTCCCTCTGGCCTCTCCCACCATTCAGCATCGCCGCCACCTGCAGCCCCTGGCCAGGCACAAGCTGGACTCAAGAAGGAGGAAGGACATTTGCTGGACAAACTCTTTATTACTCTGAAGCTTGGTTACAATAAGAAAGTGGGGACAGAGGTGGAAGTTACATGGTCGCGCTTCCTCTCACACACACCTGTTCCCTCCCATGTTCCCTCCCACATCATCAATCCCAGCCACCTGCCCAGCCCTGAAGAGAGTCAGGTGGGGGCAGGGCAGGCATCCCAAGGGCACCGAGAAAATCCACCCAAAAAATGGGAGAAACGTCTCTGATGCCTGAGTGCTGGGAGTCAGAACATACCCCCAAATGCTTAAGAAAAAACTAGATTCCCCAGCAAATTGATGGGACCCCATGGTCAGCCCCCCGCAGCTCTGTTGCCCTTGCTAGTCCAGGGCCTTGATGCCCAAGGGACGCGGGGCCGGGCACAGATGGCCGAGGCCAGAGTGAGGGAGGGAACACCCAGTTGGGGAACACTGCTGTTTAAATATTAAACAGGGATGTCTCGTCTCCCATGTGGGAGACCTTCTGATCTCCCGAGGGCCCCACGGTGGGTATCCTCGGGGGAGGGCTCCCTGCGGCTCTTCCCAGGGCCCGGCAGAGCCAGGGCAGGGAGCAGTCACAGGAATAAATACTTGGTATTTACCTATCTCCCTCCTAGTCCAGGGGACAGGAGGAGGGAGCTTTTTCTCGCTGCCACTGGCAGGAGAATGAAGCTCAGAGACGCAGGGAAGGACCCAGAAGTCTGGGGCTTCGTTCTTCTCTTCCCTGCCTTTAAATACAGGCTTAAATAGGCATAAATATTAAATAAAGATAAATACACGGGAGGGAAAGGGTCTGCTCATGGCTGGGCGAGGTAGCGCAGCATGCGGTACGCCAGCTTCAGGAAGCTCTGCAGGTGGGAGGTGACCAGGACACCGCCTGCTCGGCGCTGGAAGGCAGAGGTGAAGGTGGGCATGGCGCCCTGGCTGGGCTGCAGGGCAGGGGCCACCCCCAGGTCTTCCATCTGTGGGCAAAGAGGAGAGCCGAGGTCAGGCCCGCTGAGTGGGCATTGGTTGCGTCACATGGGGAAATGCTGACACGCCCGACTGTGAAAGGTCACTCGCTCCGATAACGGTGGAGCCAGGACTCAAACCCAGGTCTGCCAAGGTCCCGTGCTCTGTCTCCTGCTCTAGCTAGGGGACTGGAGGAAGGCCAGCAGAAGGAGGGTCCTGGGATGGGCCATATACAGGCCCCCAAGAATGCTCCTGGCCCCAACCCTGAAGACGCCTGGGATCCCCAGCCTGCTGTGCCGGGCGGGCGTGCAGCATGACCTTGGAGACCTGCTCCATCTGGCCCTACTGCCTCCCCCAGCGAGGCTCACCTGCTGCCAGACGGTGGTGGCAAAGTCGGCGACGTCTAATTGCAGCATGTCCACGGTGGGGGCCAACTCGGGGGAGATCCCCGCCAGGGCCTGCAGGAGGCCCTGGTAGAGGAAGAGGCCGCTGTGCAGTTGGCTCAAGCAGCCCGTCTGGGGACACAGAGCAGGAGAGTGAGGGTTGCTGCTGGGGACACTCCTGTCCTCCCTGCCCCATCACCCTCCTCCCCTCCTGACACTCACCAGCTGCAGGGCCTGGCTGGGGCAGCTGCTCAAGGGAGTCCGGGGGATGCCCAGAAAGTGCCCCAGCAGCACCAGCTCCTCGGGGTGGCATAGCTTATAGGTGGCACACTGGGGACGGAAGGGTGCTGTGTGAGAACCGCCTGGCCAGGCTGCCACTCCTCTTCCCTGGGTCCTCCCCGGCTTCCTGGCCTTCGCCCTCTGGGCTCGTCCTGCCTTGCTGCGCAGCCCCACTCGCCACCCTGGCCCATGGCCCTCAGTGTCCTCCCTGAAGGTTCCCCAAGTTCCTTCCCAGCCTTCCACGTTGCCACCTCTCCTAATTTTCTCCCATGTCCCCTGTGTGTCTCCCTCTCCCATGTCCTTCCTGAGGGCATCTTCCCCTTCCTTCGCCCCGCTCAGCTGCCGTCACCTCTCCCACTCACCAGCTTCTCCTGCAGGGCTGCGCCGTCGCTCTGGATCTTTCTCACTTGCTCCAAGCACTTGAGCAGGAAGCTCTGGGGCAGGGAGCTGGCAGGGTCCAGGGGGCTGGCTTCTTGCGCTGGCCAGAGTGTGCTGTGCCAGAGCAGCAGCTGCAGGGCTGGGGACAGACAGGGCTCAGGAGGCATGCCGCACGCCCACTCCCACCTGGGGGCACTGGGTGTCCCTAGTCCCCATTCCCAGAATGGGTATCCCTAGCCCCTTTCCCACTCTGGCCTCCCTCCCATGCCCAGGGCAGGTAGTGCTCTGGTCCTGGGCCAAGACACTCACCCATCAGCTTCATGGGGCCAGCCATGGGTCTGGGTGGGTCTGGGCTGCGGGCACCAAGCTCTGTCGGGCCCAGCTCCAGAGGGCCTTTATACATAAGCCCATGGCGGTCTGGGAGGAAATTACCTGGGGCTGCGACTAAGGCTTAGTAATAACTTCCCAGGATTTATGCAAATTTAGTGTCCAGGACAATGTAGGGGGTTGGAACAAAAAGCTGTTTGCGAAAGTTTTGTGAAATTGTGGAATCTCTGATCCTTCTTTGACGTAAAGTCTTGTCCCCCTCAAACTCCCTTCCTCCCCTCCTGCCCCACCCAGGCCCGAAGTGCCCCAGGGTGTTTGAACAGAACAGCAGCAAAGCTGAGCCTCCGAGAGCAGCAGGGAGGCTGGAGGCTGGTCAGCCTGGGGCGGGGGGAGGCGACCTCCAGAGGGGCTTTCCTTCTCCAGCTGACGTCCTGGGGCACTCTCCTTTGCCCCCTCCTTTGGGAGTCTCCGGCCACCTGCATCCCAAGTCCCCCAATTCTAAAAGAGAAGGGAAGAAGCTAGTTGCCCCCATTCCTAACTCCCAAGCTCCCTGGAGGCTGCCTTCCTGGGTCACCTGCTGGGGACCCCTGGCCTGAGACACGGGACACTGGGGTCTTGCCTCGTATCCTCACCCCACACTTGGATAGCTACCATCCCAGGTTCCAGGTTCCAGGCTGTCCTGCCCGAGCTGATTAGCTGGAAACTCCCCTCTACCCCCCGCCCATGACTCATTCCTTTAAGCCCCCAGAGTCCCGGGAGAGGCCAGAGGAAGCCGGATGTCTGTCCTGAATGAAGCAAGACTTTTGAGGCCCTCAGCTCACCTGACCTTGCCCTTCCACCTCCTCCAGCACTACCCCAGCAGCAGATCCCCAGGGCTTTGGAATTAGGGGACTGGAACACATGGCTTCTCTGGCCATTCACTGCCCAGGGAAGAGGCTGCCAGCCAGAGTGTGTGGGGCCCGGAAGCAGACTCAGGCTGGGGGTGAGGAAGGGGGAACTGACCTCATCTTCGAATCCTAGAACCATGTAGTCGGGCCGGAAGGGACCTTGGAGTAGGTTCCAGCCCTGCGAACTGGGCCAGAGAGGGAAGTGCCTTGCCCAAGGTCATGGTTGACAGAGTCAGACTGCAACCAGGCCTCAGTCCTGAGAGCTCTCCACAGGCCCGAGGCAGTCTGACTGGCCGAGCCCAAGGCTATCACCTTCCGTCCTAATGTACCCCCCAGCCAGTGAGCCAAGAAAGAGACCTGCCTGGCCCGCGGGGCCATCTCCGGGGCTGGGGTGCCCCCTGGTGGCCACAGCTGGCAGGTACATCACCTGCTGCTCTGTACACATCCTGCCATCTGTTCCCCTCCTCCTGTGGAGACATTGGCCCAGGCGCACAGTCCCCACTCCACCTCATCTGGGCAAATCCACCACCTTGCAGTGTTGGGGCCCAGCTCTGTGCCCAGCTGTGTGAGGGCAGAGGGTGGCTTTAGCGGAACCACGGAGGGCAGGAGATTCAAGTTCTTAAACATACTGGCTGGCAGTTATTGGGTACCTCTTATATGTCAGGCACATTTGGTTACACTTTTGTCATTTCTTCCTATTAACCAGCGGGTGTGTTACAGATGAGGGACGGCCTCAGAGAGGTGAAGAGACTTGTCCAAGATCACAGAGCTTGTCAGTGGCAGAGCCAGGCTGGATTTGTGGTTTTGTCAGCATCCCAAGCCCGTTGTTCCCATACACTAGCTCCCTGTCCAGATGGCTGAAATCTCCAATAGTGACTCTGTCCAGACATCAGCCCCACCCAGGGGAGGGTAAAGACCAGATAGAGAGCAAGGGCTTGCTGCACCAGCCAGGCACACGGGGCTGAGCTAGACTGGAAGCTCAGAGAGCATGACGATCTGGCGAGGGCCCAGCTGCGGAGACCTGTGTTATCCACTCTTCCAACTTCCTGAAGGCTCTTCTAGGTATTTTGCTCTTTTTTGTTTGAGACAGAGCCTCACTTTGTCGCCTTGGGCTAGAGTGACATGGCATCAGCCTAGCTCACAGCAACCTCAGATTCCTGGGCTCAAGCGATCCTCCTGCCTCAGCCTCCCTAGTAGCTGGGACTACAGGTGCATGCCACGATGCCTAGCTACTTTTTTCTATTTTTTGGTTGCCCGGCTAATTTTCTTTTTCTATTTTTTTAGTAGAGACGGGGTCTCGCTCTTGCTCAGGCTGGTTTCAAATTCCTGACCTTGAGTGATCCTCCCTCCTCGGCCTCCCAGAGTGCTAGAATTACAGGCATGAGCCACCCACCATACCCAGCCTCAGGAAATGTATTTCTTAAATAAAAAGGCTTGAAAGTCAAAATTTCTCCGTGATTCATGGGCTGCAGAATGGTTGTTGTCGTAGCAGGCATGAAAACAATTATTCTCCTTGTGCATCTCCATCAGAGCTCTTGGGTGACCAGGTGCATTGTCAATGAGAGTAATATTTTGAAAGGAATCTTTTTCTCTGTGCAGTAGATCTCAACAGCAGGCTTAAAATACTTAGTAAATTGTGCTGTAAACAGATGTGCTGTCATCCAGCCTTTGTTGTTCCATTTATAGAGCACAGGGAAAGTAGATTTAGCATAATTCTTAAGGGCCCTAGGATTTTGGGGATGGTAAATGAGCACTGACTTCAGTTTAAGATTACCAGCTGCATTAGCCCCTAACAAGACAGTCCTCTGAAGCTGTGAAGCCAGGCATGCTGTTTTGGCTACACTGAAAATCTCTAGTTTCGTGCAGCCACCTTCATCAATCACCTTGCTAAGTCTGGACAACTTGCAGCTTCTCCATCAGCACTCGCTGTTTAACCTTGCACTTTTGTGTTATGGAGATGGCTTGCTTCTTTAAACCTCATGAATCAACCTCTGCTAGCTTCAAACTTTTCTTCTGCAGCTTCCTCACCTCTCTCAGCCTTCATAGAACTGAAGAGAGTTAGGGCCTTGCCCTGGATTAGACTTTGGCTTACGGGAACGTTGTGGCCGGTTGGGTCTTCTACCCAGACCATGGAAAGTTTCTCCATATTAGCAATAAGGCTATTTTGCTTTACCATTCTTTTTTTTAAATCATTTTATTTAAAATTTTTTTTTTTATTTTTGAGTCACAGTCTCACTCTATTGCCCTGGCTAGACTGCCATGGTACATCAACCTAGCTTTACAGCAAGCTCAAACTCCTGGGCTCAAATGATCCTCCTGCCTTAGCCTCCTGAGTAGCTGAGACTACAGGTATGTGCCACCACACCCGGCTAAGTTTTATTATTTTTAGTAGAGATGGGGGTCTCACTTTTGCTGAGGCTGGTCTTGAACTCCTGAGCTCAAGGGGATCCTCCTGCCTTGGCCTCCCAGAGTGCTAGAATTACAGGTGTGAGCCACCACGCCCAGCCTTATCATTCATGTGTTCACTGGAGTAGCACTTTTAATTTACTTCAAGAACTTTTCCTTTGCATTCATTATTTGGCTAAGTGTTTGGCATAAGAGGTCTATCTTTTGGCCCATATATATTTTCTTTTTTTCCCATTTCCCCTTTCAAAAATGAATCTATCTTGGTTTTTGACATACCCTCCTCCCTAAGCTTAATTATTTCTAGCTTTTGATTTAAAGTGAGAGATGTGTAATTCTTCCTTTCACCAGAACACTTAAGAGGCCACTGTAGGGGTATCAGCTGGCCTAATTTCAATATTGTATCTCAGGGAATAGGGATACTAGGCAAGGAACAGATGGCTGGTGGAGTAGTCAGAACATCCACAAATTTACTAAGTTTGCAGTCTCACATGGGCATGGCTCAAGGCCCTCAAAACCATAGTAACATTAAAGATCACTGATCATAGATCACCAAAATATATAATGAAAATATCTGAAATATTACAAGATAGGCTGGGGTGGTAGCTCACACCTGTAATCCTAGCACTTTGGGAGGCTGAGGCAGGAGGATCACTTGAGCTCGAGTTTGAGGTTGCTGTGAGCCATGATGATGCCACTGCACTCTAGCCTGGGCAAAAGAATGAGACCCTGTCTCAACAACAACAATAAATCAAAACAACAACAAAAGAAATATTGCAAGAAGTATCAAAATGTGACAGTGAGACACTAAGTGAGCATCTGCTGTTGGAAAAACGGTGCCAACAGACTTCCTTGGCACAGGGTTGCCGCAAACCTTCAATCTGTAAAACGCCACAGTATCTGTGAAGCACAATGGAACAAGGTGTGCCTGGACTGGCAGATGACAATCTGCAGCTGGTGATGGCACAGTGACCTTTCCTAACAAGACTTTATGGGCTGGGCGAGGTGGCTCACGCCTGTAATCCTAGCACTCTGGGAGGCCGAGGTGGGATTGCTCGAGGTCAGGAGTTTGAAACCAGCCTGAGCAAGAGTGAGACCCAGTCTCTACTATAAATAGAAATTAATTGGCCAACTAACATACAGAGAAAAAATCAGCCGGGCATGGTGGCACATGCCTGTAGTCCCAGCTACTCGGGAGGCTGAGGCAGGAGGATTGCTTGAGCCCAGGAGTTTGAGGTTGCTGTGAGCTAGGCTGATGTCATGGCACTCACTCTAGCCTGGGCAACAAAGTGAGACTCTGTCTCAAAAAAAAAAGACGTTATGGAACCCACAGTGTGCCAGACACCACACAAGGCCAGGGAGGACACTGGAAGAGCTTCCAACTGGCAGGAAGGCAACACTTTCCCAGCAACCACCTCCTAAGAGAAGCGTTTCATTATCAGGTGAGTGGCCCTAAAACCAGGGCCTACATCGATCACTGTGCGACAGGAAGCCTGGAGGATGTGTCCAGTTCAGGTGGGGAGGGGAGGCAGCTAAGGCAGGGGCAGAAACCAGCAGGTATTCTTCAGACGAGAGCTTGGCAGGAACAAAGAGGACATGTACAGCAATGTTCCAGGTGCTAGTGGAGAACACATGAATATTCAATGACCCGATGCGGGAGCACTTCTGTGTAGCAGGGAGGGAGGCTTTTAGATCAGGGCAGGCGTGTTTCCCACTGTGCGTGGCTGGAGTTGATGGGTGGGGGCCACAGGGGAGCCCCCTCCTGCCTGACCCCACCAGCTCTGCTCAGTGAGGAGCCCATCCCCACAGCACAGGGCCAGCCGGGCCAGCCCTGCTGTCAACCTGCTGTGCTCTTCTCCGTGCACCTCCCCTGACGGTCAGCCTTTTTCTTCAAGCCTCTAGAAGTCTAGATTCTTAATTTTATGAGCTAGAAGGTCACTGAGCCTAATCCTTTATTTGACACACGTGGGAAAGGAGTCTGAGAGGTTGGTGACCTTCGGGTCAGCATCTGAGAGCCAGACAGAGAGAACAGTAAAGCCAGGCACTTCTGCCCCAGCTCCCTTCACTCTGCCCCGGGCTTCCTCTGGCTCTACACGACCCACAGGCCCTCGGGTTACTCCTGGGCAAGAACTCCAAGACCAAGACAAAAACGTGGCCCTGTCAATATTGCTGCCACGAGGGTGAAGTATAGTAACTGATGCCCAAAGAGCTTTGGAGAACTTTTTATTGTTTAAAAATTGTAATTGAAGCTTCAAAAAAACATACAACCCAACATGTCCCAATTCCAGTGCCCTCCTCCCTAGAGAGCAGCATGAGGCTACTACCCCCTCCTGCCGCCCACACCACCAGCCAGGACCCTGCCCTGGGGAGGCCGCCTGCCCGTCCTCCTGCCCGCTGTGTGCTAAGTCACTGGCTGGGGAGGGGCGGCGGGTGAGGTGGGGGTGGCCGGCTCCCTGCACCCCTCACCCCCTGCAGTCTGTGAGCTGTGTGTGGGAAAAGGGGGCCGATTCTTTGGGCAGGGGACCCCAAGGGGGAAAGAGAAAGAGTCAGTCCCCACTCACCCCACCCCTCCCCAGCCCCCTAGCTCAAGGGAAGCTGTCGTCGTCATCTTCCGCCATCTCTTTGGCAAACTCCAAGTCTTGCTGCTCTCGCTCGCGCCGCTCCTGGGGACAGAGGTGCTGTGAGGCCAAAGCTTCGGAGCAGCTCCCAGCCCTTCCAAGCGCTCCCCTCTGCCCTGTTTGCGTGGAAGTCTGACCTTTCGGTCTGGCCCACGAAGCGAGCTTACCTCTGCAGACTCCAAGTCCTTGTTGTAGGATTTGGGAGGGAACCGCATGGCCTGGAGCACCGCAGAGAGAGGAGCAGGTGAACAAGGGCAGGAAGCAGAGCACCCGCCACGCTCCCCCGAGTGCCAGACACCAACGGGGGACAGGCCACTCTCCGGTCTAGACTAGTGGGGGGCTCGGCACAGAAACGACCTGTTACGATACCCTGTGGTACATGCTAAGAAGAGACTTCAAATTTGGAGGAATAAACTAGCAACTGTCTGCACCGGGCAGGGAGGAGGAAGAGGAGGAACTCTTCCACGGGAAGAGTCCACGGGAACGGGGAGAGGCCTTCCAGGCGGAGGATACCACATGCACGTGAGAGGCCTGGCCTGAGGTCGGTGGGGCTAGTTGAGGGGACAGTTAGGGTGGGGAGGGGAAAGATCAGATATAAGGGACCCAATGGTCTTGTGTGCCATGCTGAGTACGGCTTTGCCAGATTTTAAGCAAGGCAGCGATATCCCTGGATTCCTGGGACAAAGAGACTGGAAAAAAATATGGCAACCAAAGAGTAACAGCATCAAACTCAGTGCCCGACAGAGGACGAGGGCTTAACAACCTTCTGTGGACCCAGATATCAGCCCATTTTAGGCTTTGTTAAGTGTCCCAATACAATGATTTCATTTAATCTTACCAACCCTGTGAAGCAGGTAGGACAGGTAATCCCTCACCGTCAGCTTCACAGATGGAGAAACAGAGGCTCAGGGAAGTTAAATGACTCTAATTTGGAGACAGATCTAGAACCTCGCACTCTGAATCCCTGTCTGGTCCTCCGCGGTGACCACATCTCTTAAAAGCAATAGGAGTGCCCACCCAAGCAACTGGCTGTGGACCCTTGCCAAGGCCCTTCCCCCTCTGTAGCCCCCGCGCTGCCGCTCCGTGACTGTACAGAGATGGC